CCGGTCCGCGTATGGCAGCGCGAGGGGGCGGGGCGCGCACAGCGGAGCCGGGCACCGCCTCCGCTGTGCGCGCCCCGCCCCCTCGCGCTGCCATACGCGGACCGGCCAACATCCGAGGACTCCGGCCCTAAGTAACCCCCTCGCGTGACCTTTCCGCACCCCGCACACCTCGGCCAGCTCGGCTCCGGTCCCGCCGTTGTGTGCCTGCCACCCCCCGCCGAGACCCGCGGTCCCTTGACCACGCGCAGTCACCCCCGCCGCTCGTCATGGCGGCCCTCAGCAAGTCCATCCCTCATAACTGCTACGAGATCGGCCACACTTGGCACCCCTCCTGCCGGGTCTCCTTCCTGCAGATCACTTGGGCCGCCCTGGAGGAGTCCCTCAAGATCTACGCGCCCCTGTACCTGGTGAGCAGGGTCAGCGTGTGTGCAGGACGGGCCTCCCCGGGAGTATTGCTTGTGGGGCAGCTTTAGGGGTGGTGGGAGGCCGGGGCGAGGGGAGGTGCGAGGAGTCCTCGGCGGAAGGAGGGGGAGGGGACCCCGAGGGCGAACTGTCACCGGACGCCTGTTGCTAGGATGGGGATGTGCACCTGACTGCCGGGGTCAGAGTGCAGGACACTTGAGGACCTGGACCCAGGGACTTTGTGATGGAGCGGTATTGGAGCAAACTTAGTCAGTGCATGCCCAAGGCTCTCCTCGCGCCCCTTCCTCCTATTAAAAAGGGTATGCTCCCGTGACCACAGACAGATCTTGGCTCAGTTTGAGTTGACAGAATTGTGGCTTAAGGGTTTATGCTCTTTCGCAAGTTTGCAGAGTAGACTCCTGGTTTGAGATTTGTGCGGTGATTTCGGAGTCATTGAAGGTGTTAGGAGATCTGACTTATGCCGTCGAGGTCATTTTTCTTATACAGGTTTGCATGCAGGGAAGTTTATAGAGAGTATCTGGAAACCCACCTGTAACACTTAGAACTAGGAAAGATATTTTCTCCTAAAGAGCGCTCCCGTTTCCTTCAGTCATCACATCCTTGGCATTAAAGACCGATTATTTGATCACTGACATTCACTGTCATTTTTTTTTTTTATCTGTTGAAGTCTGTGTACTAAGAAGGTAGATACCCTATTTTGCATGTTTCCTAGAAGTTTATTCAATATCCAATGGATGATCCATTTTTTGTTGAAGTAATAATTTGGACCGATGACGTTCTTGACAGTATGATTATGCCTGTAACTTATAGAGAAGTCTAATTAGTAATTATTGACAGAACACAGGAAGGGATAGTAACTGCCTCTGAGGGTGTAAAAGGCAACTTCCAAAGGTGCTTTTCCACCTTTTTGTAATTCAAGAAAATCCCAGGGGTCATGTTAGGATGGGGTTCCCAATTCAGTAGGTCTCGGTGGGACCTGGAGAGTAAATTTCTGATTAACTGTAAAGGGGTGTTGATACTGGGGACTGCCCCCTTTAGTAGGGAGGATCTGGAGGTTAGTAATAGAGTCTTATTTACATAAATCTATATCTACATGTACATTTTCTCTCATACTGTTGCTATTGGCTCTTATATATGAATTGTGGACAGCCTGTGATTTGTATTTATTACTATGTTATTATCATTTGGTGTTGCTGGGATTCTTAACCTGTTGTCTTGTACTGTCAAGACAAGAGTTCTACTGTTGAACTCTGCCCCAGAGTTTTTTTTTTTTTTAAACATCTACAGATTCTTTGGTCTCTTGATCATCTGCACAAAACAACTGTTCCTAGGCCGGGGGTGGAGGGTAGCTTAGTGGTCAAGCCTTTGCTTAGCATGTGCCAGATCCTGTGTTCTGACTGCTTGCCCTGTTCCACCACCTCTTACCCTTGACAAAACAAAATGCAGCAAAACTAATCCAGGTAATGTGTTCCAAGATTATTTTTGACCTCAACGATTAGGAACTAGGTGGGAAGAAGGTTGACACTGTGCGATTTCTCCTGAGCTCCACAGAATCACGTATTCATTCATTCATTTGACGAGTATTTGTGGAATGCCTGTGTTGTATCTACAGTATAGACAATCCATCGATCCTGTTCTGTGTTAGCATAGTTTAGGGAAGCTGCTAGGGCAGAGATTCTCCGACTCTAGCAAGATAGGATCAGTGGGGATCAAGAAAGACTTGTTTTGCTATTGCATTTTCAGATACGCTAAATACTTCTTCAGAACAAATTTCCTATCTCATGTGGCCTTATCATGTGTATTTCAAGTTGTTGCTTATTGGTGGTTGTGAAATGAAATTAGTGAGAACTGACTAGTATTTTAAGTAAAACAGAGATTAGAAAATGTTAGCCCATCTCAGGCACTAAGGCAAAGGAGTGGAATTTTAGTCACTCTGTACTTTTTGTAGGAGTTCTGTAGTTGATCTGGGTTTGCGTCTCACTTCTATCAGTTACCCTCTGACTTTATGCATGTTTGGTTTTTATGTCTGTGGGTGTGAGAATTGAGGTAGAATAATGCACTGATGATCTTCCACACATTTTGTATGTTGTTGTTGTTATTAAAGGCAAGGACTTCTGACCTTGATCTTTGGATTCTCAGGCCTCTACCTCTCAGGTCCTGGGATTACAGGTGTGCACCACCGTACATTGTTTATATGGTGCTCCTGCCAAACTCAGCCGTATGCATACTAGGTAGGCACTCTACCCACTGAGTTCTATCCCTAGCTCATAACGTCTTGAATATGTGTATTTTTCTCTTTCTCCTTCTGCAGTGGCTCTTACTGTCAGTTAGAGTTGGTGGAATTTGATTTTGGCCTTGAAAGTGGGATTGAACCTTGATTCGTGGTGTGAATGTATGGGGTATACATCAACAGAGGGAGCTAATAGGTGACTTGAGGGAGAAATCCTAGAGTTTTGTTAAGAGAAAGAATATGTACAATGTATACGACACAAGGTTTGTATGTCGTTAGGCACTGGAGTTCCTGCTGACCATTCTGTGTTTGCGCCTTCACTCATTTTACCCTGGACGGCTGTGACGCCATCTGAAGATTATCCCCACTTTGTGAAGAAGAAAACAGAAAATCAGAGAGATTCATCTTGCTTTATAAGATTTTAGGGCAGTAAGATAAAAGGACAGGGTCACGGCCTTGTTTTGTGCTCAGGTATCTGACCAAAGGTCAGGCCAAAGGAACAATTTGTTTTTGTTTTGTTTCACCTTTTTAGCCAGGGAGGTTGCAGGAACACATGCTGTGTAAGGATGAGGAGTCCTGTGGCAGTTGCTAGTTGGAGTTGGAAGGGTGGTTAGGAGTTGTAGTTGCTTTGCTTGATGGTCCAGAGCGTTAGGTGCCCGTGGAATCCCATCTGTGTATGCTTCCCTAGCAGCGGGATCGAAGGAAAGTTAGGTTGCCTCTGTTTCTAGCTTGCTAACAGATCACTTGGTTGGACTTAGAGAAGAATGGCAGTAGGAATAGTAGCTGACATGGTAAGCCTCTAATTCAGTGGATTTGCTGTGGAAGTATGTCCTCATGATGGCTGGATCTCCTGTTACAGCAGGTAGCTTTTATTCAGAACCAGCACTGTTTGGAAGTTCTGAATGAGTGCATGTGGGAATGAATGGACTTTAGAATAGTTCAGGAGTAGGTTGGTATTTGGTATTCTTGCCAGAGAAAATGAAAGGGCAGATTTAGAAGTCTCTCACTGGAAGAGTAAACAGGGCATGAGAACGGAGGGTTTGGAGACAGCACGAGGACCTGCTCGTATTTATAGGATTATAAATCATATTCTGGAACCTGTAAAGTGAGCCTTACATTATTTCCCTTTCATTTGAAATACGAGTTAATATAATGGATTCCATAGTTTCCTGATGTTATTCTCTTGTTCTGTGCATTTGCCTTCATTCTTCTTTTATTTCCTGCTTAAAGTATTTTGAAATGTAGACTCACCAATTTTATTCTGATGAACAATTTGTAATTCATTTATAAAGAAATATAGAATGCCAATTTTAATTCAGTGATTAATAACAGTAGATTAATTGATAAAGAGAACGAAATGTTTCAGGAAGTTATTAGCTAATCATTTCATAGAGTTCTGTGAAATCATACACAGTTCCCTCTCATGAGAACTAGATCATGTTAAATCCCTTTATCTAACAATGCTGAAGTGATTTAAACCTCTAGTATTTCCCACGGTTCACAAAGAATGGTTGTTTGTAAGAACTGTTATTCTCTATGTAAATATACATTGTCTGTCATGGATGAATTTATCTTAGAAAGTATGGCGCCCATAAAGACAGAAAAGATGATAGTTAACGTAGCTGGGAGTGAAATTTTGGTCCACATCTGTGTGTATTCGTACCTTCAAACACACACATACACACTCGTGTGTTTTAGCCTACTTTGTGATAATGATGCCTTCAAAGTCTCCTGACACCAAACCAAGCCTGCCTTTTATTGAAACAGCCTGCCTGCAGAGAACTATATTCTATTGTTCTTATCCCTCATCTTTAACTTTTTTTACTCATTTTTTAAAATTTTTTGTTAACATTCACAGATATAGGTTGAGGTTTTAGTGTCTTAGGAGTAGGATTGTTCTGCTGCAAATACGGTCACTTGACTGTTTCCTTTCCTGTTTGTAACCATGGGCTGAAGAAGACTGTATATTTGTATTCTTTGTTCATTTTTAGCGTGGATAATATATTCAGAGAAGAGTGGCCTATTAAAGTTACCTAGTATTCTTGTATCAGGACATATCTGACTTTTCATGGCCTATTGTTATCATCATTATCATCATCAAAATCATCATATTCAAAATGGGAACCCCAACTCCCAACATTAAATGCCCACGTCTTTACAATTTTATGTCCTGGTGAATTGTTACCTTTATCAATATGTAGTGGCCTTTGCCTCTTCTGATTAATGCTGGCTTGAAGACTAGATCCTTAGGTATCCAAATAAGCTACACCAGCTTGGACATCACAAATTGATTCATACTTTGACTCTCAGTCTGTGGCTGTCCTTTTCAGGAGGGGAATATTTCTCAGAGACAGCAGGTTATGTTGTTGTTATTGTTATTATTATTATTATTATTATCCCTGTCAACTGGTCTATAATTCTTTACTGGGGAGTTGAAGCCATTAACATTTAAAGTTATTGAAAGTTTTGCTGACCCTTATACTTTTGTTGGTTGCTTTTGTGATGGGTTGGATTATTTGTTCTTTTCTTTATCTTGTTGGAATTATGGGCTTGCTGTTTTACTGTGTTGGACATAATGGGTTCTTTCCTTGCTTTCATGAAATTTGTCCTCATATCTTGGTTAATTTGAAGAAGTAGCTTTGTTGGTGGTTATTTACTTTGAGGGCCTGAAATACATTGACCTGTCCTTTTCTGGTTTTTAGGGTTAGTAGTAGGGATTTGATGTTCTCTGATTTACATGCCTTTGTGTGTTAGCTGCTGTTCTTCCCTTGCAGCCTCAATGGTGTTTCCCTGTCCTGCCCACTTGCTGTTGATAATCTACTGTGGAAGGTCCTTCTCTTGTCATGTGTGTTTAGCGTTTTGGTGTCTATCGTTTCTTTAGATTTCGGAAATATTGTTCTAGCTGTGGAGTAGCT